AGCGGCCCGGGGGGGGGGGGGGGCCCCCCCCCCCCCAGTGTACAAATTTTTGTGCACCGGGCCTCTAGTATACATTATATAATTATAGCATAAGTTTAAGTTTGAGTTCAGCTTTTTGTTGTATCATTGTCCAACAAACTCTTTTGCTCACTGCTACACAATTCCTCTCTCCCATATAATCAACAAGTATGCTTTAATTTATCTGTTCAACAATATTTATTGAGAACTAACTATATGGCAGGCATTATCTTAGGCACTGGGGACACAGGTAAACAAACAAAAAATCTCATGGAATTTACTTGCATTATAGTATTGAGAATAAGAGATGACAAATTAGTGAGGTAGAGTTTCAGCATAGTTTATTACTAACAACTCTTTTTTATTAACACCATATAGGATAAATGTTATTTTATTAAGTATAGGCTTTCATCCCCAGTTTAACTAATATTTATTCTCAATTTATTACTGATTGGTAAATATTTCCAGCTCCTAGCCTTGTCTACATAATAAGACATACTGTTAGTACACTATGGCTATGGTTTCAATGGGCTTCATAATATTTCATTGACTTATTATCTTATCCTATTCCACATTCTCTTATTATTGGACAAATTCTTCCTAAATACCCCATCATTCTCATTCATACACACACATTTTTTATTTTTTTTAGATAAATGACATTATATATCTACCTCATCTCACCCCTGTTATGCCCATTCAAAAACAAACACTGTAGTGTATGTTGTGTCTATTATTCATTTACTTAGATAGTTTTAAAGTTTTTTTTATCATATAGCTAAACCATATGGTGTCTGGTTGTACTTGTTTTTAAATTTATTTAAAAATATTATTCCATATATTGTCACCTGGCATTTACTTTTTTGATTCAACACAATGTTATGAAGATTCATTCATGTTGTTGTATGTGACTGTCATTTACTCATTTTTCATTACTCTATGATATTTTATTATATGACTATGCTACAATTTATTTATCTAGTCTCCTGGCTATGATCATTTAGATTATTCATAATTTTTGCTATTATGAATAGGGTACATATTTCCTGGATATATAAGCTAGTGTTTTGTTGTGTGTGTGTTGGAATATTTATCCAGGAAATCAATTGCTGGATTGCAGTGTATGAAAATACTCATTTTTAAAACATAATGCTAAAGTGATGGTAACAATTTATACTCTCACTAGCAATATATAAAAATGTACATTGCTCTCCAGTCCGTATAACATGCAGTAATTACAGACTTCTTAACTGTTGCTAATTGATTAGGTATAAAATGGTTATCTAATTATAGCCTTCATTTGCATTTCCTGATTAATAGAGAAGCTGAGAATCATTTTTTCTAGCCACTGTTTCATGATTTGTGATATACCTGTTTGTTCATTGTCTATTGCTTTGTGCTTTTTTCTTATTGATTTGTAGGCATTCTTTATTACCTGTGACATAACATTTTGATCCATTGTGAATTATATAGTCTTAGTTCTTTTTCAATTACATGTGTGACAAATATCTTCTCTCATATTATAGCTTTCTTTTTTTTACCTTTCTTAAGGTGTCTTTTGATAAAAGATTATTTTTCTTAATTTATTTGGTTCTATTCTTTCTATTTTGTTTATGGTGAGTGCTTTTTCTCTCTTCTTTAAGCCCTTCCCTGCCTCAAAGCTTGGAGAAAATTCGCCTTTATTTGATTATGTTTTAGTGCTTTGCTTTTGACATAAAGAACTTAAAGTATACGGAGTTTATTTTGTAGAAGTACATTTTAATGCCTTTTTCCCTTATAAATAATAAATGTTTCTAGGTCATTTGCTGAGCAGTCTCTTTTCTTCCCAGTACTCTACTATGTTGCCTTTGACACACATCTAAGTTCCACTTCTTTGTGGCTCTTTGTGTGCTCTCTCTTCTGATAATGCCTTTTCAGTCTTGTATTTATTTAGGCAGTGAGTTTACAAGTGTCTCTTGTAGTCGACCCTTGAACAACACTGGGGTTAGGGGCCCTGACCCCTTTGTAGCTAAAAATCCGCATATAATTTTAACTCCTCCAAGACAATTGCTAATAGCCTAATGTTGACCAGAAGCCTTACTCATAACATAGTTGATTAATACATATTGTGTGAAACTGTACTCTTAACATAAACTAAGCTAGAGAAAAGAACATGCTATTACAAAGATCAAGAGGAAGAGAATACATTTACAGTACTATATATATTCATTGGGAAAAAATTCACATATAAGTAGATCTGTGCAATTCTAACCCATGTGTTCGAGGGTCAACTTATATCATTAACATATTTATTAAAATAAATATGACATTAAATTATAGAGGGCTATACACAGACTAATGTTGATAGTGTCTCATGAATTAAAAATTATGATTAATTCAAGTCTGTGAACCTGATGTCCATAAAAGTGATGAAAGAAAGCAATACATAACACTATACGAAGCAATATTATATGTTAGTCTTTTATTTATTTCCTAAGGACAAGTTCCAAGCAGGGAGATGACTGAGTCAGTGGGTAGAAAAGATTTTGAGAAGTCTTAAAGGTACAACTTAATGCATGCCAAAAGGAACATGGCCATTTACTGTTCATGGCAAAGAGCCTAGCAGATAAAGTCATAGCTCTGCCCCTTTGGCATCCAAGGTTTCATTTCTGCCACATCCCTTGCTATGCTGTCACAATAGTGATCTTTGTCAATTCCTGCTACGCAGCGGCTGCAGACACTGCAGCTGCTAGGTGGCCAGATTAAAAGTAAAAAATCATTTCTGTGCCTCACCTGGGCTCCCTCTTTCATTTTTATTAGTGATAGTATGGATTCTGCTAGGATGCTTTTTCTATAGATATACTAAAAGCTTGCACTTCTACCTCCATTACTTATATCTTTACTCAGATGTCACCTTAAATTTAAGGTATTGAAAAGCTTTACTCTATTTAAAATAGGAACTCACTCTGACCCTTTATTCTCACTGTCTCCCTTTGCTGCTTTATATTTTCTATCTCACTCATCATCATTTGTCTGTCTTTCTTCAACCAGGATTTGGAACTTAGATCTGTCTATTCACAGATGTCGGCCCAGCTCCAACATTAATGCTTCAAATATGGTAGATGCCTTATAATTATTTGCTAATATTATGAACAAACCACATAGGAGTCATTCAATATGTGTGTTGGAAGAATGAATGGGGCCCAGAGGACTAAAAGGGACTCATGGTTATACTTACAGTTTTTGATGTCTTTCCCACTGGAGGTCCAGGAGTAGTTGAAGCCTTGGGTAGTCACACTGGAATTGCTTGCTGTAAGACAAAATTTCCAGAATCCAAGCTTTTTATAAAGATGTAATTTAACTTTGCTGTGATGTGCTGAATTTTTAATCTATGTGACTTTGGGGAAATCTGAAAATTGAAATATGCTTCCCTATGCAGTAACACTAGCTGGCATATTGAGGGAAAGTTCTGCAGCTTGTGTTTAATGCCAACTAGTCATAATTTACTTCTTTTCCTGTTCTTGTAACCAACTCAGATGACTAGGAGTGCTGTCGAGACTATTTAAATATTATCTTAAAATCGCATGACAAATAAAAGGTATCTATAATAATAAAAGTGTAATATGCTAATTAGACTGGACAGCCGAATGATCTTCTGGACGTCATTCCAGAGGGGTGATCAGGCAGGCAGGAAGAGGGGGTTAGGGGTGATCAGGCAGGCAGGAAGAGGGGGTTAGGGGTGATCAGGCAGGCAGGAAGAGGGGGTTAGGGGTGATCAGGCAGGCAGGAAGAGGTGGTTAGGGGTGATCAGGCAGGCAGGCAGAGTGGTTAGGGGCAATCAGGCAGGCAGGTGAGTAGTTAGGGGTGGCCAGGCAGGCAAGCAGAGTGATTAGGGGCAATCAGGCAGGCAGGCAGGCGAGTGGTTAGGGGTGATCAGGCAGGCAGGCAGAGTGGTTAGGGGCAATCAGGTAGGCAGGCAGGCAAGTGGTTAGGATCCAGCGGTCCCAGATTTCAAGAGGGTACAGGCCGGGCTGAGGGGACCCCCCCATGCACAAATTTTGTGCACTGGACCTCTAGTAGTATAATAATAATCACTAACCCTTATTTTTAAAATGATAGCGATTGTCATATCAATATATAGTGACCAGGTTACAAATTACAACAAGCAACTCAAACGCAAAATATCACCATCAAATGAGGAAATACAGCCTTTTGTCCAAACCTCCACATTATCATGTCTGTAGTAACACTTGTGAGCCTGTTGTCTCTTTTGAATCAATTTTGGAAAGCCTTGCTATACTCACTTTGAGGTGTGTTGTTTGGAGTCAGGGTGCTCACATCTACAGGGGCCATTGAAGACGTAGCTAGATATCCTAGTTCAAAAACAAATTTTCCAAATTGTCATAGATATTCACATTCACATGTTTAACTCTGCCACTATGATGAACAAGGGTGGCATGCAGAGCATGGGATATTACAGCTGGAAAGAATCTCAGTGAATACAGGGTATTCACTTCATTTTATAAATGATGAAATTGAGTCCAAAAGGTACATGCTTATGATTACATACTGAATATTCAACATCATTTATTTGATACTAACCCAGTGTCCTAACGCCAAGTGCATTACATTCATACTTTCAAAATATATTGTTACAGTATCGACTGTCTGACAGACTCTATTCTACATGGAAATAAAAATAAAGACAAGGCTCTCACCCTCATGGAACTTATAGTGAATCTTCACAACTGTGTATAATGTTTTAACATAGTAAATAGGGTTTTGTATTTACATTAATTCCTATCATTCAGAGTCACCTCTATCTTTTATAATCCATCATTTCCCATTCTCCTTCCCTCTCTCTTCCCCCTAAAATGAAATACTAGTTCATATTCATTTGAATATATCTCTTCAGATGAAGCAAATTAGATTAAAGAAGAAAAATACCTAACCACACTCATTGAAAACATGTTTCTTGGAAAGACAAATTTTCAATATATTTTATTTATGTGCATTTTCCCTCTGTTCCAAAACATTATTTAGGTGGCTTACATAAATATGCAATGCAAGAAGATAAAAGAAGTGGAAAGGAAAAATAAGAGTAAGGAAAATATAGTTAGGAAAGGTATGTTGAGTCCCATTGAAACCTGAGTAGAGATAGTATAAAAATGCACTTCTTGATGTCATATACTTTTGGTTGCTGTGTGCCCCCCATTTGGTCAGAACTTTCTAGTAACAATGCTAAGAAATAAAGTATATGTTATGCCATCAATGAACATCATAAGGTCAGTCAATTTTTAAGAAAAACACAGCTATTCCCTTTTTGGTAATTAAAAATAAATTTCTCCCAGTCTTGATACAAAGAATATTGTATAATGTTTTCACTCTTCTCAAAAAAGATCCTTACATTCTGACAGCCAGCATGCTCATGACCCCACTACCTTTAGAGGCAGTGAGTGGCACCCCAGCTTCCCAGGTACCTCAATTCTGGGAAAGGGTATGCCTCAGATAGAAAGCATGGGTAATCAAATCTCTGAAGAATATATGTAGGATAAATAAATAAATTGGCATTGTGGTTTATGCATCTATAAGGATTTCAGCTATAGACATGATCAACCACAATTGTTTTGCAATGCAGCCTACCAATGAACATCAAAGAATGCTAAACCCCAGATGTGTTAGAAACTGCCTCAGATCATGCCGTATGAGCAACTAAAATTGGCAGCCAGCCTGAGAATAGGCAGAAAAAAATGTTTTGAAGACCAGATAAGAATAACTTTATTTCTGCAACAAATACTTGTTGAGTGAATAGACTAGGGGATGAAGTAAAGAGAAAGAGAAACTTGCCTCTGCCCTCATGGAACGCAGTTTAGTGAGAATAAAGGTCAGTGTGGGAGACCACTGGCTGATCACCGAAGCCAGCCCTCTTCCTTCTGGCACAGACACAGTGAGTAGAATTCCTGGTCTCCTGTGTGGTTAAGTGTGGTCTTGTATTGAGTCCGAGCCAATGGACTGTGAGTGATGATTGCCGTTTCAAGGCCTGACCTACAAAGCCTCCCACACATGATCCTCCATGAGCTTTCCTCGGGTGCTATTCAGCTCTTACCGGGCAGGGAGACTTAGAAGGCATAACTTAAAGGAGACAGAGCTGCCGGCAGCCTGGGCTCTTGAATGACTGTGGGACAGAGCACCCAGCCACTGGCTTGACCCTTCATAGGCTATTAATGATAAACGGACTTATACTATATCAAGTATAAATGAACAAAAGAAAAGTTTGGAATTTGTTGTTACTGCAGTTTGCTTCCCTTCCCTTGCAAACAGTAAAATCTCAATTGCAGCTCAAGGTGATAGCGCTATCTGCCGTGGAGAAAATGCGGTGTACCATGGGATTCCGACGAGGGAAACATAACAACAGAAGTGGGAGCTCAGGAAGGCTTTCTGGAAGTAGTGACGTTGCAACTAGCCTGCAGGATGACAGATATTCATTAAGAAAAGCTGAGAGTTAGGGGAAGAAAGAGGAGAAGCAAGGAGAAAAATACTCCATGCAGTGTGAACAGAAAAGGTAGGAGAGGACTGAAGCCAGTTGAATATGTTGAAGATACTTTGTGCACAGTAAAGAGGTGCAGATGGAGCCCTGGCAGGTGTGGCTCAGTTGGTTGAGGGTTTTCCAGTTTAATTCCCTGTTGGGGCACATACCTAGGTTGTGGGTTTTGACCCCCAGTCAGGGTGAGTGCAAGAGGCAATCAATCAATATTTCTCTCTCACATCAATGTGATGTTTCTCTCTCTCTCTCTCTCTCTCTCTCTCTCTCTCTCTCTCTCTCTTTCCTCTGTAAATAAATAATAATTATTATTATTTTTAAAAAGAGATAAGGATGGAAATTTAAGAAGAAGCTATATTCCAAAGGCTCATGGAAGAATTGACATTCAACTGGAATGTACAAGATGCTCTAACCTTAAGGGTAAGTCAGTGGTAGCCTGAACTATACAGTGAAGGCTCAGCAGAGCATGGTTAATGATTGGACATAGGAAGTAAAGAAGAGAGAGAAGTCAAAATAAGTCCAAGATTTCTGTCTTGGGCAGCTTTTTGGCTCACACTAATATTAACTGAGGAAATAAACAGAGAAGAAGCAGTTTGGGAAGTGGCCAGAGACACGAAGACAAATTAAATTTTGGACACATTTATTTTGAGTGCATATGAGACATTTAATTCCAGCAGAAGTCTGACCATGTGAGTTTGAATCTTAACTGTGAAACTGAGATGCAAATAGTATTTGTGAGACACCAGCCTGTAGACAATAATTGAAATAGCTGTGAGTACCAGGGAGAGAGGGTCCAGGGAGGAAAATGGGTTTAATAAGGAACAATGAATACTCCTTTCGTATAATGGACTGGCAGAAGAAAAGAAGATTGAAAAGGAGGGTCCAGAGAGGCAGGAAGAGAGTATGTGGTGAGAGAGAAGCCAAGGTGACTGAGGTGTCCAGAAGCCGGGCAAGTCAGTACAATTTAGCAAGTATTTGTTAGCGAACACCGTGTGCCAGTTGCTGGGTCAGTGATGTCCAACACTGCCAAGAAGACAGTTTCCATATAGCTCCCAACTGCTAGAAAGCCACTGCATCAGGCCCATCAACCTGTATACAGAGTCTAGGAGCCAGATTTGCAAAGCACTTGAAGGCTTGCAAAAGCATTGCAAATTATGTATTAAAAGCTTGAATTCCAGAGCAAGACTCTCTGGGTTGAGTCCTGGCTTAGTTCTAAGTTAGATGTATGATCTTGGGAAAGTCTATTGATTTTTTTTTCCTCTCCTCCTCCAATTCCTCACTTGTAAAATAATACTTCTCCAGTAGGGTGATCACAAAGGTTGAGAGTCATTCCTATCAAGTTCTTAGAAAAGTGCCTCACATGAGGTTAAGTGTTGAAATGTAATATTAGAAGCTACAAACTAGGGCATCCACAGTTTAGTTCAGGTGTTGAAAATACAAGCATGTACTACCAACAGGAGACTTGAATCTCCTGATGAGTTTTACAATTGCCCATTTCCCTTGTTCTTTCTAGGAGGTCCATTCGAGGTAACTAATCTCTCCTTCCCCAGGCTGACCCGAGTCAAGAACTACATTCCAAAAGACTCCATCATAACTGGGTAATTGGCAGGGGTGAAGAGAGTGGCAGCTTTCAGGGGCATTAGCTCTATGATGGGGAAGTAATTTCTACTGGCAGTTACCTACATCTCCTCTTTCAATTCACTGAGCCATCAGTGGTTCAGATTCTTGTGTAGTAATTGTAACTTCTAGCTCGCTGACTCCCCCACTCATCAAAGAGGAGGGCCCAGCAGAGTCTATATAAAGAGCAGCTATGCTTCTCCTTGGTTATAATTTTATGAACCTATGGATCACAGAGTTAATTTAAATTTTATTTCTGTCACTGAGATGGCTTTATCTTTGTCTGTCTGTAGCAATTTCTTCAGCTACCTATTTTTAAAATTTTGTATTGTTATGTACTTTTTAAGTTATGTCATTTTGGGAGCAAAGGGAAGTAAAAAAATGCATAGAAGAAAGCAATGACTAGCCATAAATAATCATTAGATACTTATTATTATTGAGATATGATGTGCTCCTCCTAATTAATAGAGGAAGAAAGGATGAAAAGGGTAAGGGTAAGGGGAGGGGACAAATAAGACTCTATTCATGTTCTGAACAATTTTCAGAAGGATAATGAAAATGATCTTTACTCTGGGACCTCATTCCTTATGTGAGGCTTTCACTGAGAGTCTACAGTCTCTTATCTCCCCTCCCATGGGCCAGCATCATTCATTCATTCTTCCTCCCTCTCCTCCTCCCTCTCTCTTACCCTGAGAACTGACCTCCATAGAATTCACTGACTTAGTAAGTGAAAACAAAAAGGAATTGTTTTAACAGGGGTGATGAAGTACCAATCCTATATAATAAAAGGTTAATATGCAAATCGACCGAACTGTGGAATGACCAGTCACTATGAAGTGCACTGACCACCAGGGGGCAGACACTCAACTCAGGAGCTGCTCCCTGGTGGTCAGTGCACTCCCACAGGGGGACCACCACTCAGCCAGAAGCCCAGAAGCTAGGCTCATGGCTGGCGAGTGCAGCAGTGGTGGCAGGAGCCTCTCCTGCCTCCACAGAAGTGCTAAGGATGTTCAATTGCCCATCAGTCAGACATCCCTTGAGGGCTCCCAGACTGCAAGAGGGCGTAGGCTGAGCTGAGGACCGCCCCCCACCCCCAGTGCACGAATATCGTGTACTGGACCTCTAGTGGTGATAATAAAGACAAAGAAAAAGAACTAGGAAATCATCAGAGAACATTGCATTTATTTGTAAGCTACACTACTATTACCTAGACAG